AGGAATACATACATATACCTGTGGAGAGCCACAGCCTCCGCCGCCATTACAAGATGGCGCCGGTATCCGGACCTTCTTAACAGTAAACATCCTGCTGCACCCATAAGGGGCGTGCACAAGAGCCTGCTCTCCCTCGCCTCCTCCCGTGGCGTGATCTCCAGCAACCAATCTGCTTCTTATACGTCATAGATGGGACCTTTAGAGAGAGAGAGAGAGAGAGAGAGAGAGAGAGAGAGAGAGAGAGGTGTTGAGAACCTGAGGCAGAAGGATTGTTGTTAAGTCTGAGGCCAGCCAGGGATATAGAAAGATACCCCGTCTCAGAGGCAGAGACAGAGCTTCAGAGAGTGAGAAAGAGAAAGACAAATAGGACTATCTACCTTGGCTATCACCAGTAGCAAGTAAGTCTCGCCCCACCTGAGCTGTGGGTGACCAACAGGCTGGAATTCAGTCACAGCACCCTCTCATCACACTTGTCAGAGCTGCAAGCATAGCTCTTGGCAAGATGAAGCCAGTCCAGTTACCTACAGAATGTCCAGCCCCTGCCTAGGCATTCTCCCTGGCTCAAACCCAGATCTCACTGCCAAATCCTATAGAAACAAGCTTGGTTGCCACAGCACAGCCACATGCACTTTTGTTGGCTGTTCCCTTGATGTCCCTTTAGCACATCTTTTCCATCCCAGACAGGCAGGGTGTGATGTGTGGGGTCCCTGGAGTGTTCTGGCCTCTGCTTACCTCAGCCTTGAGGATCCTCCCAGAACCTCCACAGGCCCTGCCTGGCAGAAGCCTGTTCTGCCTCCCTCCCCTCCCAGCACCCCAGCCCGGCCTCTACCCTCAGCTTGCCTTTTCCTGTTCTCTGTACCCACAGCTCCAACTGTCTAAGGAGCTGGCCTTTCCTTCCCAGCATTTGGCCTCCTTATGAACCCACACGTAGCCTCTGGGCCTTCCCAACCTAGGGTTAATCTCTCCAGCATCCATACCTCTCTCTGCTGGATGGAGTAAATAGCCATGAACATCAATGCCCTCACCTTCCCAGGGCACTGTCCTCATCTCACTGTCCTTCCTTTCCCAGGTCTCCTGGTTGTTTGTGTGTGGGAATTATGTCCAGACCATAAGTCCAGAGGGCTTTCCAGAAGAAGAGACTGGCCAGATCAAGAGTAGGCAGAGAAATTCTGGGTCACAGGATGCAGCAAGCATTTGTCATCCTGTTCCCATGCCCAGCTATCTCAAACAAATCCAGTAAGTCTCAAACTCATGGCAACAGGTCTTGTAGCCTTCAACAGAGTCAAGTGCCCAAGTATAGGCCCCACCTATACTTCTAGGCCCCCTTGAGCTGTTTCCTAACTGCTTCTAGTGTGGCTTTGACTCCCTGGTGTCCCCTTCTTCCCACCCCACAGGAAATGGGGTAAGGTCACAAAAGCCCCAGGCTAGACAGAATGCAGAGGGCAGAGATCTACCCCACCCTACACTATACTGCATTGCCTGCTTCCGGCACCTAGAGCAACTCCACCTGTCAGTCTTGGATTTCTACAAGGCTGCTCCCCCATGCAAACACACACTGAGTGTCCTTCCCTGGGTGCTCCTGGGACTAGATGGCCCCACTTTTGTGATCTTCTGCCTGGGGCTTTCAAGCACCAAGTCCCACTTCATCAGCACAGTCCCAGTGGCCTATATTTTTCCTTCATCTGCCGTGCCCAGTAGAATATTACTCCAAAGAACAGCCAATTACTCTTTCCTGAGACTGGAATACTGGGGACACCAGGGATAGCTGCTGAAGCGATGAGGAATTGGCAGGTCCCTCTCCAAGGGTTCCTCATGAACGAGACAGTTGGAGGACTGACAAAGTGCTAGGTGCCCACTTCCTACTAAGATCAGGCCTATGGGGAACCTGGTTCAGAGGAAGACACATCCAGTTGACAGATCTTAGAGGTGGGTACAGGCTAGCACTTAACATAGCACTTGTGGCAGAGTGATCAAGACCATGGGTCCCAGACTCAGACAGACCTGGGTTCAAATCTTCAGCTGTTTAAGAGAGGAATGATTGGGTAAGGTGCTAGACCTTGGAGGAGACTGGGTTTCTCACCATAAAACTTAGTAGAGAATGGACCCAAGTCAGGAAGGACCTGTCAGAAATGACATGCAACTAAAAGTTATGGCTGTACCAATAGTAGCTCCTCTGAGAGCCTAGGGGGAAAGCCAAGAGGCCAGCTCACAGACACCAGCCAGCATGTGGGCATACCAGGGCTGACCTAAGATGTATTCCTTCTGCCCCTTCCATTGCTATCAGCAAATTAGGAGCCCACACTGCACCCTTAAGCTAGCCCCTCACTGAGCTGAGCCAAGCAGCCCCAGAATCACACAGGCTAAGCTGCCTGTGCCTGCTGGCCAACTCAGGACTTCCCTTAGTTGCCCCTTCTTCCCATGTTCCATACCAGACATTGCTACATCCAACCAGCTGGCCAAGACTTATACCCACTGGGTGCTGGAGAATAGGGATGGCCTGACTGTTGAGTATGACCCTAGGAGGATCTAGAAGCTGGGGGGTAAAGAGATAAGGAACAGGAGCCCCAAACATTTTCATTCAGTGCCACAAGCACATCTCTGTGGGAACTGAAGACCCTGAATTTTCCCATTCATTTCCAGAAAGATCCTAACATACAGCCACAGGAAGTTACTTTACAGAACCTCTTAGTTTTGGACACCATTCTTGGCCATTCCTTCCTAGTCTGTTGATGTCTGTCCCTCAGAAAGTGGTTCTCACTTCCTGAGGAGACTGCAGCAAATAAATGCAGGAACCTCAGGGTACAGGGACTGGGGAGAAACATGAATGCCTAAGAGTATCTTTATGACTAAGGCTGTGCCTGCCAGAGGACCCACCCCCCTCCCCAAGAAAGGGATCTTGGAACAGAGAGGCCCAAGGAGGACTGAAAGAGACTACCCGGCTGTTGAATCAAGCCCAGGGGTGAGCAGCCTGCAAGGGAGGGAGTCTGTTTGTGCATGGGGAGAGGCTTGAGGGGACGTGAGATTGATATGACAGACACCCCTAGACCTCAACCTCTTCTGATTATCTCACCCTGTCTCAAAAGAACTAGGCTGGGACAACTGGCTTCTAATGAGGCCCACTCTCTCTCCTACACCTCATCTGAACCTCAAAGTTCATCACTATGCACACCAGAAGGCTCCAGGACTTAGGCCTGCTTTGTCTGGCACCTCACCTCTGCCTTCTGGGTTGTACTAAGCTCTTTCTCACTCAGGGCCTTCCTTTATCCTTCTGACTCCAGCTCTCTGTCTGCAATGCCAGGCAATGGCCCAGGACCAGCTGCTTCTCCACCAGGTCTTTGGCTAACTGTAGGGCTCCTACCAAACCATTTAAGAGACCAAAAGATGACAACACTCATTTTCTTTTGCGTTCTGGTTCTTTTTTTCTTTCTTTCTTTTTTAATAGTACTTATCACAGTTCAAGGATTTTAACACTCCATTGTCAGTCGCTTACTCCTTTTTCTAGAAGAGTTCTGGAGGGTGAGTTGCCCCAAAAAGACATTTTTGTTGTCCCAAGGCAGGGCCGTGGGTGTTACTAGCTTCCAGGGAATAAAAACCTGAAATGTTGCTCAACATCCTACAATACACAGGATCCTAGCAGCAAGAACGATACGACCCGAAACCCCACACCAGACGAGCTTATCAGACTGGAATTGTATTGTCTGCGGTCCTCAGAGCCTAGGATAGTACCTGGCACACAGGCGGCGCTCAATAAATGCAGAAGAAAGTGAAAAGGGAACAAGAGACTGAAGGAAAGGAGCCGGCAGTGGACCAGCTGAGACTCCAGCTTTCTCG